CCCCCAAGGGTCCGACCTCCCCAAGAGACCCCGAATATCTGCTCCAATTCCAGTCACCCGCTCGCCGAACCCACCCTGCCCTTGCTACTGCCCCAGCCGAAACCGCAGCCTTCTGCCCTAAAAACACATCCCTCGGATGTGCCCGAGCTTGGGGTGCCACCAGCTGGGCGCTGGGGCTGGGGACATCCCCGCCGTGCTGCAGCATCCAACTGCATTCCTGAGGATCCACGGGGGCTGGGGCTGCCCCCATCCCAGCGCCCCGGGACCTCGGGGTGGGTCTGTGCCCCCATCCAGTGCTGTTAGGGTGGGTCTGTGCCCCCATCCTGGGCTCCAGGGCTGGGTGCTGGAGCTGGGCCACACTTCACCCCCCAAAAAAAAATCCCAGATCTTGATGAAATTGCTGCAGTGTTCAGCCCTGTCTGGTGCAGAGGATGGTAGTGGGAGGTTTGGGGGTTTCTGGCTCAAAATGAACCCTGGGATGTGGGAGATGATCCCTGCAGGGTGGCAGGAAAAGGCCGTGGGGAAACTGAGGAACAGCCTGTGTCATTGACTCCATCCCATCTCCTGCTGCACGCAGGACTCTGCTCCTTTTTGGGGCAGTTTCTGGCTTTCTGATGCCACCTGATGTGCAAAGCTGGAACCAGGCAGATGGGAAAGAAGGAGCAGGGAATTTGCACTGCAGGACAGTGGGAAGCCAGACCAGGATGTTGGTGCCTCTTCCTTCTCCATGTGGCTGCCAGTGAGATTCGTGCTGGAGGATCCCAGAAGGAGGAACGGGCTGGGAACTTTGGGTTTGGGGGGGAAAAGCCCACACTGGGTCAAGGTACTGCCCCAAGTGCTTGGGAACATCCCTGCCTGGATGGTGTCACACGGGTGACATCCTTAGGGTGTTTTTGGGGAGTTTTGTGGGATTTTGGCCTGTCAGTCTGAACTCCTCCATGACCAGTGTCCCTTCCTGGGCAGGGATATTCTGCAGCTTCTCCCTGTGCTTCCGGGGGGCCTCACTACACTCCCAAATTCACCCTTCAAGGATGCTCATCCCAGTGAGCTCCAAGGTGGCTCCTCACCAGATGGTTCGGGGTGTTGGGGAACAGGCAGGGAAATGTCCTGGCAGTGGCCAGAGTGGGGTCCTGGCTGGTCACTGAGCACCCCCTGCCCCAGCTGCACCCCGAGGCTGCTCAGCCCCAGTGTGAAGCCAGGTCTGATGTCACCGGTGTCCCCCAAACCAGGGGGGCAGGGGGAGGCAGGAGCCCCTGGGTGTCGGCACCTTGTGGGGTCCCCCTGGGGCTCCCAGCACTGCCATCAACCCCCACTGGCTGAGGGACACGGCACTGGGAGAACTGGGACAGCATCAGGGACACGGGGTGTGACACACGGAGGGGTGTGAGGACAGACAGACACACGGACAGACACACGGACACAGAGACACAGACACAGACACACGGACAGACACATGGACAGACACACGGACACAGAGACACAGACACAGACACACGGACAGACACACGGACAGACACATGGACAGACACACGGACACAGAGACACAGACATACGGACACAGAGACACAGACACATGGACAGACACACGGACAGACACACGGACACAGAGACACAGACAGACACACGGACACAGACACAGACAGACACATGGACAGATACACGGACAGACACACGGACACAGAGACACAGACACACGGACAGACACACGGACACAGACACAGACAGACACATGGACAGACACACGGACAGACACACGGACACAGACACAGACAGACACACGGACAGACATGCGGACAGACATGCGGACACAGAAACAGACACAGAAACACAGACACAAACACGGACACATGGACAGAGAGACACAGAATCATGGACACAGGGACAGACAGACACACAGACATAGACACACACACACACACACGGACAGACACATGGACACACACACACACACACGGACACCCCTGTGACACCCCTGGCACTGACACTGGGGCTGTGCGCACACACACAAACAGACACATAGACAGACACACAGACACACACACAACTCCTTAGGGTGATGCTGTGCTGGTGTCACACACCAACACCTTGCAGGGATGTGCCCAGGTGTGCAAACACACACACACACCCCCTTTGCACTGACACTGCGTGTGCACACACAGGGACACAACCAGAACACGTCACAGTGACACTGTACCTGTGTGCACACACCAACGTTGCAGTGACGTGTGTGAGTGTGCAAACACCCCCAACGCCCTGGAGCAACGTGCTTGTGCACACACACACACACACACACACACACACAGGTGCACTCACAACCCCCTTGCAGTGGTGTGCATGTGCACGGATGCAGCGCACACCGACACCTTGCAGGGCTGCTGCACCTGTGTGCACACCCGGACACCTCGCACAGATACACCTGTGCATGGGCACCAACACACGAACACCTTGCACCAGGTACCTGTGCGTGTACACACACACACACACTTCCCTTGCGGTGGTGCTGCGCTTGTACACACGCATGCATGTGCACAACCACGATGCAGAGGTGCTGCACCTGTGTGTGCACACACCAACACCTGGCACAGCTGCATTTGTGTGTGTGCTCACACTCACAGATGCACACACAACCCCCTGCAGTCACACCCCTGTGCCCCCCCTTGCAGCAGTGCTGCACTTGTGTGTGCACACACAGACACGCGCAACCACGTCCTGGTGACACCGCGCTTGTGCACACAGACACACAAAACGTGCACAGCTGCACTCGTGTGTGCACACAGACACACAAAACGTGCACAGCTGCACTCGTGTGTGCACACAGACACCCAAAATGTGCACAGCTGCACTCGTGTGTGCACACAGACACAACCCCATTGCAGCAAAGCTGTGCTTGTGCTTGCACACACACACACACACACACACACACACACACACCAGGTTGCAGCCATGCTGTACTTGTGCACAGGCACACAAACACCCTCTGCAGCAGGGCTGTGCGTACGAGCCCGTCCTGCTGTGACGCTGTGCGTGTGCACACTCACACAAACACCTCCTGCAGCGAGGCTGTGCATGGGCACACACACGTGCTGCAGTGACACAAACACTGGCACACACACGGTGACACTGGCACACACACACGGAGCCACCCTGCAGCGAGGCCGTGCATGTGCATACAGATGTGCGAGCACCCAGATGTGCGAGCACCCAGATGTGCGAGCACCCCGCAGCAGGGTGTGCAGGGGTGTGCGGGGCTGTGCACACACACACGGCCCCTGCAGTGAGGCTGTGACAGGCACGTCAATGCACACGCACCCTGCAGAGCTGCACACGCACACACACAGCCCTTGCACACCGGGGCGAGCGCCTGCTCGGGGCTCACAAATGGATTTTGGGGTTCCCCTCACCCCCAGCCCTGTGGCTCCCTGCCTCAGTTTCCCCACGGGGATGCCGAGGGCTCCGGGTTTGGTGCTGGGCCATAGGTGCTCACCCCAGGCAGAGGGCTGACGTGTGTGGGGTCACTGCCCGTGCCTCAGTTTCCCCCCCGGTGCCGGGTCTGGAGCCGGGGGTGCTGCACCCCGTTCCCCCAGGGACACCCCAAACCCGGGCACCGCCAGTGCCCGTCCCGCCACCCCGGCAAACTTTTGGGGTGGAAAAAGCCATTCCGCTTGCAAGGAGCTGAGCTCGGCCCCTCTCATCGCAAGGGTG